AGGTGCCTGCTACCAACCCTGACTAATTTTTCTATTTTGGTAGAGATGGGGTCTCGCTCCTGCTCAGCATGGTTTTGAACTCCTGAGCTCAAGCAATTCTCCCACTTGGGCCTCCCAAGAGTGCTAGGATTACAGGCATGAACCACCATACCCAGCCTGGATTGAGGCATCTTAAAATAGGCTTTATCTGATAAAGGATTCTCACAAGACCATTCCCAAAGGACTTTGTTACATGATCCAGTTTATTAGCCAACAGGGCAGGATTGATGGGGACAAAATAGTCACAGAACAGATAACAGTGCCTCTTAACCCCATTCCATCCTGGAATTCAACTGGTGGAATGAGAAGCTCTGGAGGTTTTGAGATTGGACTGAGGTTGGGAGCTGGGCAGAGCTGGGTAGGGCTAGGTAGGGAGGGCTGTGCAGGCAGAGGCAGATCTCGGACAAGGGTCCTGAGTGTGCTTTTCCTCCCACATAGACATGACAGGTGCTCTTGGACAAGGGTGGCCAAACAACAGTACTGCTTTGTGCTGGACCCTGTGCTGGGGGCTTGACCCATGTCCTTCCTAAGCCTGACAGCACATCTTTTGTTATATGTGGGGAAACTGAGGCTCAGAGAGCTGGAGCTCTTTTCCTAGTAAGGCGTGTAGGTGAATCCACATTTGCTCAGCTCTCTCTAAAGTTATCATAATGGAGGGGCCAACGGAATGATGGATTATGTCCCAATTAAAAGCACTTGGGCATTCCCAGGAGATAGTTGTTGGGTGCCTTGGGATAAGACACTTTGCTCTCTGGAGCCCAACTTACTCAGCCAGGTTATGATGTTCCCAAGTTAGAGGAGCAGGAGAGGGCTGGGTGAGAAGGGCTTTCCAGAGTGATCTGAAGCGTACAGGGCTTGGTGACAGTCGTTAGGCCCATGGTTAGCTCAGGCCCCCTCCCTCTTACAAGCATTTACCCAGCATCCACTCTGAACCTGGGCCGAGGGCTGCAGCATGGCTGGCCCTGGGAGCTGTCTGGATTCAAATCCAGGCCCTGTCCTGTACTGTCTGGGTCCATCCCTCTGTGGGCCTCGGTTTTCTTATCTTGCTATTCATGATCTACCTCCCAGGGTGTTGGTGAAGATTAAAATGAAATGGTGCAACAAAGAAGGAGTGTGAGGCCTGATGGAACCCTCTCTCCTTTCCTGGGGAGACTCAGATTCTAGGGGCAGGATCCTTGTCCTTAGAGCTGAGGGTCCAGCTGTGGGCAGATGGGGCATGTCCCCAAATCCTGTGACAGTCTCTGGTGTGCAGTCTGCCCCAGGTTGCTGGTGCTCGGACAGCAGAGCAGGTGCAGAGGCAGTGCTGGGGCAGCCAGTGAGGGAAGGGGCCTGTCTGGACTTTATCCCAGAGCAACAGGGAGCTGAGACCACTTGGAGAATGTGCTCAAGGGCGAGAGTCTGGAGCACCTCACGTGCCAGGATGTGGACAGCCATGCTTAAGCGTGGGAGGGGAAGGTCAGGAAGCTCCTTTCTGACAAAGGGGAAGCCTGCTTCCGCCTATTCAGGCCCCCTCCCCGAGATGGTGGGGTGGGGGTGGGGTTCTGAGCACCATGGAGACCACCCTCAGTGCAGCCGGGTGTGCAGGGCTGGAGGAGGACTGGGAGGCATTCCAGGGAGCCCCTGCTCTGTTGGGAGGCGCCCGCCTGGGGCCTGAGAGGCAGGTGGCATCTTGTAACCCTGCAATTAGTAGATAAACTAGGCAGGGCGCTGAGGGGTGGGGAGCAGCTGGCTGAGACTGCAGCTGGTTCCTGGGTGCTGCCTCTGACTCCAGCCCCCAACCTACCGCCCCTGAACCCCCTGGAGTGGCTGGAGGCCCCCTCCACCCCCCACAGACAAGGTACTGGGGGTCTTGGGAGGGAACACAGCACAATGGGGAGTGTCAGGAAGCGGAGAGCATCACTAAAGCCGCATCATCAAATGTGGACCTGGACAGCCCATCGTTCTCGTCCCCAGAGAGGGGCAGTAGCTTATCAGAAGATGCACAGCTAACAGAGAGCAGGCTGGGCCCAAAGGGAGGTTTTATGGTGGGTTGGAGTGTGGATGTATCATTCCTGAACATGAATTTTAAGGCAGGGTGCCCCTAGGGGCTGGGCAAAATGGCCTTGGCAGGAGAGCAAGGACAGACTCCAGGGTCCACAGCCCTCACATTGCGGGGGCGGAGGGCTGGGTGTGGGGTGGGGTTGGGCTAGCCGGTTTTCCAGCCTGTCTGGGCACTCCAGGCCCATGGGGAGGGGCCCTGCTACTGCTGCCCTGGGGGTGCCCGCCCGAGCTGACTGCCTTGGGAGACACCATGCTCCATGCCAGGACAACTGCTAAGCAGCAGAAAGACGTGTAGGAGTGGCCTGGCAGTTTCTGCAGTAGACTAGGGGTGGAGTGGGGTCTGGGCTTCAGCTTCCTACCATCCTATCCATCCATCCTGTCTCCGTCCTGCCTGCCTTTCATTATTCTTTCCTCCTGCCCATTAGGCCCAGGGCACTGTGCTGGCTACTGGAAGGGCTCTTTGCCTTCAGGAGCAGCTGGCCAAGCAGGAGAAGCAAAGTAAACAAGCCCCTGCATACTACAAATGGATCCAGTCGGCTGGACTTTGAAGGGCTGGTGGGACTTTGATGGTCCGGGGAAACTCTGGGGGGCAGAAGGGGTCAGCATGGCTAGAACTGCAGGGTGTACAGAGTGGGGTAGGAGTGGGGCTGCAGAGGACAGGGGGAGGTCTAGTAACTCGTTCCCCCTGAGTTTCTGCATCCTCACCAAAGAGCAGGATGATGGTGGTCACCATGTCACTCAGCTGGTGGGAATAATCAACAAGATGACCCATATGGTGAAAATGATGGGGCTCACTAAATGTTAACTGTTCTTGGCAGTGACCCCCATAGTGACACGGAACCTGCAGTTCTGAACTCATAACATGCCTTGGCTCATCTATATTTCACGTTGACTTGGGCCCAGTGTGTTCCTCCCCTTTTCAAAGAGAAACTGGACTAAGTCAGAGGAATAATCCTCAGGTGCCTCCAGGAATGGGACAGTCATCGAAATGAGCGAGGTGGGTGCAGGGTGAGGTTGCAGGAGTGGTGGGGACTCAGGTCTATGGGGTGCCTGTGCCCCATCCCAGGGAGCAGCTGTGGCTGTGGGGGAGTGTGAGCCCGGGGGCAGGGTGTCAGAAGTGATTTCTCAAGAGAGGGAAGCCCATCTTTCCATGGGGAAACCTCCCATTACTAATACTAGAATGCACTGAATAGGTTTTAAAGCAGCACGTGAGCCAAAGCTAATGCTTCTATTGGCAGATGCTGTCACAATCACCAGGTGACTTCTGTGTAGGTGAACAGAAACCACGGAGGAGCCGTGAGCAGGGAAGCAGCCCATTTCAGGCCCAGTGCACCATCCAGCCCTGTCTGAGGTGTCCCGCCCCTCCCTCCTGAGGCCTCAGTCCTCCTGTGTACAGTGGAGGTGGGAGGCCAGACCCCCTCCCCACTGACATTCCCAGGAGTTGCTGTCTGGGAGATAGGAGCCCTAATGAGGCCCTTGCTCAACGCTATCTCGCAGGAGGTGCCAGGGAGTCTGGGGGAGCCCAGACAGGGTCTGCTCTGTGTCTGGGGATGGCAGGTCCAGCAGGTCCAGCCGGAGGGGCTGGTGTCAGTGAGAACCTGGCTTCTGGCTCCTAGCTCCTGGGGTCAAAGGGTAGCACTTGAAGCCTTTTCTGGGGCCAACTTCCTGTTTGGGAGAGAAAACAGAAGGACCTCTGACAGGAAACGGCCCTCTTCCCGAAGCCCTGTTTTCCACTGGTGCTGGCTCCTGGGGAAGAGCTGTCACGGGGGAATCCCCAAACCCCACTCCCGCTCTCCCTCCTTCCTGAGGCCTCTTTGCCACAGCAGCAAACCCCCCTCACCAGCATCCTTGGCAACTGGAAACATTCTCAGTGCCCGTGTTCACCAGCTCCCACCTAGGCTCCTGGGCCTGCCTCCCCCCTCTCCTCAGCCCAATTCTGAGCTCTCTCTGAATGGCAACAGAGTGAGACTCTACCTCAAAAAAAGAAAAAGAAAGTCATTTGGTGCAGCTCCCCACCCCTAGCTGCTTTATCAACTGAATTTAACTCTTCCCTGCCAGGCTCCAGCCTCTCTTTGCACAGCTCTGAACACGGGAAACCCATCACCTTATGCATACTAGAGCCATCTGACAACAATTCCTTCCGCAGAGAGCAGGCCCTGGTGCTGAGACCTCACCTAAAACATCTCATCAGAAGAGCAGGTGCCCGGAACGCCACTTTGACTTTTTGAAGATCAAAAGTCTATGCTACTGTGTTTCTAATAACAGTTTCTATCAGATTTAACATAAAGCTGCTGGTTATCCATGGTTTAAAAATAAAACATTAAAAATACAATTAACCTGTAATTTCACTACCTAGAGCAGGGCTGGGGGAAAGATAAAAGGGTTTACTATTTATTGTGCTCACACCTACCTCTGGGTAAACTCCTGTCAATCACCTGAACTTCATCCCTTGCACGCAGCTGGCAAATAGCCCCTCTCCAATGCAGACCTTCAAGTATTTTAATACTAACTAACCTTTACTGAGCTCTAGATTAATTGCCTTAATTTTCATGACAGCTCTATAAGGCATCTTAACTTACAGATGGAGAACTGAAGCTCAGAGAGGGCAAGTAACTTTCCTGAGGTTGCACAGCCTGTAAGGGGCAAAGCAGAGATTTGAATTCATGTGGCACCAGGATTGAAGTCTCCTCTTCTCCAGATTAGATGTGAACTGGATCTTCTTCCCTGTCACAGGAGCTGGATGCCAGACTCCTCAGCAGCTAGATGCTTATTCATTCATTCTCTCCAATGCTAAATCACTAAATATTCTTGAACTCTGGTTTAGTGTCAGGTGCACTTGTCTCCCACACTCTCTGCCCATACATGCCATGCTTTTGGGACTCTGACCCAAGAACTTGAACTCCATTACAAAAGACTGGGTTCATCGCATTGTATTATGAATAGACCGTGCTGGCCCTTCCAGGCCTAGAGAGGCAGGCTGGATGGGGCCCCAACAAGCCTCCTTTAATATGCCTCACCCTTGTATGAAGTCCTGGGTGGGTGGGGGTGCTTGAACTGGGCTCTGGAGTGATCTTCCATTTACAAAACCAAATGGGTCAAGGATGCCTGGGCATATATATAATATACATATATATACAGAATACAGGCTTCCCTTCCTCGGGGCACTGGTAGGTAGGACTGTAGATGTCTTCCCTGGAAGAGAAGAAAGTCATCCGTGGCAGGGAGCAGGGTCTGGTCCCAAAGCAAGTCTAGGCAGCTGCATCAGTTCAAGTGGCAGGTCATCGTGGACCCTAGGGGGCTCCATCCTGTCCAGTCCTGACAGGCTCTAGGCCACCTGGATTTGCAAGTCCTCATCTTCGTCCAGGTCGCTGGCTCCATCCCCAGCCTCCTCAGGGCCAAAGCGAGCACCACGGATCTTCCCAAAGAGGGGAGCATTCTGCTGCTGTCTGCGTAGCCTGTGGGTGGGGGTGACAGTCAGAGCAGAAGAGCAGATGCCTGGCCCTGCTGCCTCCCTGATGCTGTTGCTGCAGCTGGGGATAAGAGCAGCTAAACTGGCTCCAGCACTTTCCTGGTGCCAGGTACCACATGAGGCCTTTTATACACCTTACCTCATATAATCTTCACAGTACGCCCTTTTATGAAAGAGGTGTCATTATCACTCCCACTTTACAGACAAGGAAACTGAGGTGCAAAGAAGTAACTTGGAGTAACTGCCCAAAGTCAGTGCAGGGAGTAGGGCTGGCCTATGAAGTAGGGTGGCTGCCTCCCTACTGGGCCAGGGACTCAGAGGGGTTGAGGAGCTGGCTCAAGGTCACACTGCTGGTATTTGAACCCAAGCCCAGTTCTAAGAACACAGGCAGCAAGAGTGTGGCGGCAGCAGTGGTGGTGGCCGCGGGCAGTCTGAGCCCCTACATTCCCAACCTCAGTGAGAAAGTGCTCAGCCAGCTCGAGTTCCTCCTCACATTAAAATTCCTACAGCCCAAATTTACGAGGCCAACTTTGACTTTAAGAAGAGTGGTGGAGGAAATGCCCATCCCTGTGCTCCCCCTACCCAACCCACGCAAAGTGGCAGCCGGCTGTGTCTTCCTGGAAGACATGAATTATTAACGCGGCAGGGAGGGGCACAGGCGGGGGCCTCCATTACTGCACCGTGATTTAGTGAGCTGTCCCCGGAACATTAAAGCACGAAAAGTTAGAAAATAAAACAGTGCAGTAGTGCTGGGTGGCCCTGCCCTCCATGATGAAAGCACTTGAGAGGCTAAGCAGAGCCCGCCTGCCCATTCTGGGAGTTTATGGCTCCTGAAGAATGTGGCTGAGACTACGAGAAAGCCCTGGGACTATGTGGCCTCTGGAGGGGTATCCACTGGGGCGGGGGCACAGTGGGCACAGCCGGTCAGACATTGAACCTATCTTGGACATGTACTAGGGCTGCTACACAACACTGGGGGCCTGATCCCAGACAGATGGGGAAAGAGAGGCTTAGTTGGCAATATTATACGGCAGCACACAGTAAATGCTCGATAAATAAGGGCGCAGATGGCTCATCACTGCTGTGTGGCCACAGAAGGGCTTATCTTCCTAGGCCTTAGTTTCCTCATCTGCTAGTCTCCCCATAAAAATCCCTCTCCTTTCCTTTCTCTCACAGAAGCAGCCTGGTGCTTATAGCACGAATATAAGCCCCCTCCCCTGGGGGAGCAGTAACAGGAGTAACAGCAGCAGCAGCTGACAATTACTCAGTATTTATTATGTGTCAGGTACTTTTTTTTTTTTTTTTTTTTTTTTTGAGACAGAGCCTCAAGCTATCCCCCTGGGTAGAGGGCCATGGCATCACGCTCACAGCAACCTCCAACTCCTGGGCTCAAGCGAGTCTCCTGCCTCTGCCTCCCAAGTAGCTGGGACCACAGGCACCCGCCACAACACCCAGCTATTTTTGGTTGCAGCCGTCATTGTTGTTTGGCGGGTCTGGGCTGGGGATTCGAACCCGCCACCTTAGGTATACGTGGCTGGCGCCTTAGCCGGTTGAGCTATAGGTGCCGAGCCTGTGTCAGGTACTTTTATAAATGTGGATTAGCTCATTTAATTCTTACCACGATCATCACCCCCATTTTACAGATGAGGAAACTGACACGGAGAGTTAAAGAAGCATCCCAAGACCACACATAGTTACTAAGTGCAGAGGCGGCTCGGGCTTCCTGCCACCCAGGCAATCTGACTGCAGAGCTCAGAACTCTCCACTCCATGAAATAAGAGAATGTTAGTAAGAGCTTGCCAAGGGTGTGGCACAGGGACAGTAGGTTAACACGGTGACTCCCCAGCTGTGAAGCAGGGAGGGGCTTGTACTTGAAGTTCTCTGACACCTCTTGGCTCAAGAAAAAGAAAGTGCAGAGAGAAGGTGTGATTCACAGAGTACTGGGAGGAGGGTGGGTGCAGGACAGGGAGGCAGTGTGTGCTGGGTGTGTGCAGCATGTGCTGCTCCCTCCCTACCTCCTTGAGGCTGCTGAGTCAGCCTGCAGCCAGTGTGGGGTCCCTCCATGACTCTTTGCTGTCCAGGGTCACCCCAGCCCAGTGACCTAGTGGCTGTTCACTCTTCTTGTCAAGAATCCCCCAGCCCCACTGGGTGAGCTCTACCCAACACTCACTCCTTGGGCCTGCCTTCCTGCACTTCCACAGTCCCTGGTTTCCGGGCTCTGGCCCTTCGTGCCTGGAGGGACCAGGATTCCGGCCCTAGGGGGCCCAGACCTCTTCCTTCTGTCTTCCCCTTTAGCCCTAGTTGGGGGCTTCAACCCTGACCAGAGGGCTCCCTCAGCCGGCACCTCTCTGCCCGCACCATGAACCCTCGCCCGGCCCCGGCCCACCTGGACTGCAGGTGCTCCAGCTGCACCTGCAGGTTCTCACTCTGCTCCGTCTGCTCGTCCAGTGACCGCTGCAGTTTACGTGTCTGGTTGTGGGCCTCATCCAGCTACAGTGAGCAGGACGAAGAGCATGAGGGTCATCTTGGGGCGGGCAGTCTGTCCTGCCACCACCTAGGGCCTTTCACGAGAGTGTCTGCTCCTTGAGGCCCAGACCACCTCCTTCAGGGAAGCATCCTTTCTGTTCCTCTCCATCCCGGCTGTCCCCGTTCCCAAACTACCCATTCTCCAATGCTTGGCACCATTGATCCTGCCAGCCATTAGCCTGTTTGTTCATCTACCCTCATCAGTCTGACCAATCATCCTTAGAGACAGTCATCTGCTCATGGAGATACCCACCCACCCACTCACCATTCAGCACCCATCCAACCTCCACTTACCTTCCTGCTCCACCAAGGGCACCTCTTCTCCTACCAGTCGTCCTTATTTCCCTCTGTCCATTCACTCTTCTGCCTACTGACAGTCAGTTGTCCATCTATCCATCTGTTCATACATCCATCATCTACCCATCCATCTGTTCATCCATTCCTTCATCTGTCTGTTCATCCATCCATAGGAACCTCCTTCTGTCCTGTTCTTCCACTCAACCTTCTACATATCCTCTGTTAATCTATTCACCATGCATCCACCTTGTCTGCCCATTTTTCTTCCAATCCTCCTACCCATATGTCTATCCTGTCATCCATTCATTGTCCCCCTACCTGCTCTACCCTGGGCACCTCCTGAGACCCGGGCTCATGCCAGGCACTGGAGACCCAGCAAAGAGTAACCAGGAGGGCTTGTAGCCCCCGCTCCTCCTGGGGTGAGCTCTGTGGCCACCCGGGGGCCCCTGTGGTCCCCACCTCATCCTCAGCCTGGGCCAGCTCCTTCTTGAGCTCCTCCACCCGTAGCCGCAGCTTCTTCACCTCCGCCTCGTGTTGCTCCACTCGCCGGTTGGCATGTGCCAACTCTGCCACCTTCTCCTGGAACTGCTTCTTCAGCTTGCCATGCACATGCTTCAGGTCTGCCAGCTCCTGCAGGGTGCAGAGACGGGGTGAGAGGGGCTCAGCATCAGCCAGGGCACTGTACCCGGGAGTGCCACGGGGCCAGGCAATTCTAGGGTTCCTGGGTATCTCTTCTTCCCAGAAGCTCTGCACCTGAAATATCAGCATGAGAGATTTGGCTGAGCAGCTGGAGGTGCCATCTCGTGAGGTGAGTGGGCAGGGTGGGTAGAACCAGCGGCTGTAACTTTGGGCTGACTAGGTGTGCCCCAGGATGTACAGTGGGCTGCAGAGCTGAGAGGCAGGATTTCTGGGGAAGGTAGGGGTCTGCAGTTTTCTATGCTGTATATATGGCATTTAGAGCCCTTGGTCTGGGGATGGATGGAATTGGGGAGTGGGTGTCATAAGAAGAGAGATGAGAGGCCAGAGTGGTTGGGAAGAGGAGAAGCAGCCAGCAAAGAAGATGTTCATTACCAAGCTCTACAAGTTCCTGAGTCTCAGTTTTCACATCTATAAAATGGGGGCATATACCACCTAAAGGTCTCTGCTTTGCTTTATTTCCACCAACTGCAGCCTGGTTCAGGTTTCATTATCTCCTGATACCCAGGGAATGGCAACAGCCTCCCCCTGGGCTCTCTCTGTCCTCCAACCACACGGCAGCAAGTGCTGGGGACAGCAGCCTGCTCACACCCCTCCTGCTTTAAACTCTTCTGAGGTGGCCCATAGTTCCTGCCTCACGTTCCCCTTGCTCACTTCCGTCCATGGGCCTCCTTGTTCCTCCAAAGCCCCATGTCTCTCTCACTATGGACATTTATTCATGTTATCCCCAAATGTAGCCTCTTCCCCAAATCCATTCACCACCAGTGAACATTGCTTTTCCTGGAGACATCAGCTCAAAGGTCGCTGTTTCTGGGAATCCTTTCTAGGATCCTGGGCCTAAGCCAAGTCCCCTCTTCTTGCTGCTGGCAGCCATGGAACTGTGATTGGCATGGGTTTGTGTGACATAGGGACTCCCGTGTGCTTCCCCCTGAGCATTCCATCAGCTCCACTTGGGGTAGGCCACAGCTATCAGTTCACTGCTGTGTCCCTAGCACCTAAAATGGGGTCTGGCACATAGTAGGTGCTCAATACATGCAGCTACTACAGTTATCACTGGGCCTGGCATATAGTAGGTGCTGTGCTCTAGAATGACTAGACAGTGGCCGCCCCAACACTCTGCTCACTGCCCCACCTTGTTTTTCTCGAAGAGTGCAGCCTGGCTGGCCCGCAGGTCGCAGTCCAGTGCACTGGCTGTCTGCCGCCGCCGCCGGGCCAGCGCCTCTTCCAGGTCCCCAACCTGTGCCCGCAGCTTCTTGTTCTCTCGTTCCAGGCCCAGCTTCTCTGTCTCCAGCCGCTCCCGGCGACCCCACTCAGCTGCATTCTCGGCCTGTAGTCGCTCCATCTGCAGCAAGGCAGGATGGGTGTGAGGACTCCCAGGGGAGGGAGTCCGGAGGGCTCGGGTTGGAGGCCCCGCCACCTCCTGTAGCCATTTTTGGCTTCAGGAAGCAGATCCAGCTGCAGCAGCTATAATTAAGTTGGGCTCATTTCATGGTGTGCAGGATGTGAGGGTACTTCTGGTCTCTGTAAGGGACAGACGCCCCCCCCGCCCCCGCAGCCTCGACACCCTTGGGATGAGGCTGGGCCCCCTCAGAGCACAGGCTGGCTCCTGTCTTCTCCCGGTGATACGCTGATGGAAGTCAGTCCCTCCCGGGTCCCGACCGCTGTCCCACCTCGCCCCTCAGCTCAGCCATCTTCCTGTCCATGCTGGACCGTGCACCCAGCTCGTCCTCCAGGTCTTCAGACATGCGTCCCAGCTCATCCTGGTGCGCCTCCTTCAGTATGCTCAGCTGCAAGGATACAGTCCTGCCTGGTTACACAAGAACCACCAACCACGGAGACAGAGCCCGGAACCAGACACTGGGTCAGCAGTGCTCAGCAGGGAACCTGAGGCAGGGCCCAAATGGATGGCACCAGGTACTCAGAACAGACCCTGAACCTGACCACTTCTACCTTCCCGTGACTCCCACCCGTGCCTCACTGAAGTGTCTCCTTGTGCCTTCACCTGGCCCCGTCAGCTCTTTTTCCACAACAGTAGCCCTCCATGAGCTTCTAAAAAAGATAAATTCAGTCACTCACTGCCCTCCCCAAAAGCCCCTTGGATGGCTCCCAGGTGCTTTAGGAAGAAGCCCAACTCCTCTCTCTGTGGAGGACACTTCTCTCCAACCTCATCTCCCATCTTCCTCCCTTGTTCACTGTCCTTCAGGCTTTCAAGTCCTTAAATACACCAAGTTCCTGACCACCATAGGGCTTTTGAAAATACAGATCCCACTCAGTTCCCTCTGCCTGGAACATTCTTTATTTTTTTGTTGTCATCCATGCTAGAGTGTTGTGGTGTTATCATAGCTCACAGCAGCATCAAACTCCTGGCTCAAGAGATCCTCCTGCCTCAGCCTCTTGAGTAGCTGGGACTATAGGTGCCTGCCACCATGCTCAGCCAATTTTTCTACCTTTTTGTAGAGATGGGTCTTGCTATGTTGTCCAGGCTGGCCTGGAACTTCTGGCCTCAAGTGATTCTCCTCCCAAAGTGCTAGAGTTATAGGTGTGAGCCGCCATGCTAGCCTGGGAGCACTATCTGAGGTATCCGGCAGAACTGACTTTTCTTACTCTTAGGCCTTGGCCTAGATGACCTCTCCTCAGGGAAGGCCTCTCCTGTCCAGTTGGCCTAGAGGTGTCTCCTCATCCCACTCCCCACTGGAAAGCAAGCCTAGAAGGACAGGAAACTTGCCTGCCTGTCCTCCTTTATATCCTGGTGTGGCCTTGGCACAGGGTGGCCCTTAATATCCACAGACTGACCGAAAACTAATCTGACTGCAGGGGCATCAGAACTGCTTGGGGTGCAATTCCTTGCTCTGTGGCAGCAAAACCCAGCAAACTGCTGCTCCACACAACCACCACACTGAGGGAAAGATGCCAGGTACAAAACAGAACCTTTAGAATTTTCTACTAAACTGTACTTCTGGGTTTTCTTCAAACCCAGATTATAATTCACAATTTGAAAAGATTAAAATGAAGACAGGTTCCTGGACACAGTTCTCAAGGATGCTGATTCAGAAAGGTGGAGATGGGGTCTGGGAATCTGTATTTTAGGAGGTTTCCTAAGTGATTCTAATGCAATCCCTCAAATGTCTCAGACCCTTCCCAGACAGAGATTCAGGCTCTGAGGTCTGTGATCCTCCCACCTTCTGGAAACCCAGCAGTTCCAACTTTCCCTGGGTGGCTGCGCCCTCTGGTGGCCACTGAGGCCCACAGAGGCGACAACAATGCAGCCCAGCCAGCCCTGAGCCCCCTCTCTAGAGCCATAGTTTCCTCATCTGTAGGATGGGGACATGAGGACCCAGCTCCCTGGACTGCCACAGGGCTTCAGTGACACCGGGCACATGCTAGGCGCCCAAAGAATGCCACATCCAGACCCGCCCCCTGCACACTGGTCTAGTAGGCCCTGTGAGCTCCAGCTGTGCTGTGGCCTCACCTTACTACTCACCCGCCACAGTGGCTTTGCTTGTCTCCTGAGCACACTGGGCTTATTCCTGCCTCAGGACTTTTGTGTTTTCTTCTGCCAGGAACACTGTCTCAGTATCTTCTCAAAGATGGCTTCCTCTAGACCCTGTAGGTTTTGCCTCCAATGTCACCTTCTTAGAGACGCCTTCCCCGACACTCCCACCCCATTCTGTTTTGATCCCTTCATGACTCGTGAATTTATCTACCTGGATATGGTTGGTTTCTGCCTATGGTCCCCCTAAAGTGAGCTCCTGAAGGCAGGGGCCTGGTCTGCCTAGCGCTCAGGACAATCGATGAATGAATCAATTCCATTCCCCCATCCCCACTACTGAAATTCAACAGTGTGATACTCCCGCTTCCAGGAAGCCCCACCCCCACCCCAAAGCTGGTCTCCAAGACTCACTTGCTTGAGCATCTCCTGCTTGGTCTTGCTCAGCTCCTCATACTTGATCTTCCACTGGCTGAGCTCCCCCTCCAGCTTCTCAATGTTCCTGCTTAGGGCCAGTTTATCCCTGGGCAGGGGACAGGGAGGGATAGTCATGGGGGAGAGCCTGCTGGGGCATCTGCCTAGAGTCTTCACCACGAGTGGCCCTGCTGTGCTCTCTGCACCCGTCAAGCTCATGTCCAAGGTTCCTGCCTTGGCATTCAGGCCCTGGCACCCCATACTGTGGCAAGCGCCCCTATTTTGCATTTCTCCTTGAGTTGCACTCCTGCCCCAAGTGCAGGGGCCCAGCTCACAGTGTTGGGAGATGAACAGGGTTCCAAGGCAGTGGGCATCCCTGGGCAAGTGCCTCCCTCCTGCTGGGACCCAGGCTTGTCTGCCAAAGGCCACCTCATTTCTATCTGATCTGATCATCTCTAGATACTCTGGTTCCCTGTAAGACTTGAACACATGGTTCTAGGGCGGGTTTCCTCTTGCAACTGTCACTGTGGGATCTCCACGTTCTCCCATGACTACCATGTGCTCTGCCTTGAACATGAATGAGGCATCACAGGTAACAAGCATGGTGCCTGTCCCAGCATACAGAAAGTGCTCAACAATGGCTGAGCTTAGTGTTACCCTTTAGCACACTGTGCTCCATGACCTCACACTGCCAACGAGGGGTTCTCAGAGAGGACAAATGCCACTCTCTAGGACAGTGATTCTCTACTGGTATGCTGCGAGAGAATCTTAGGTGTGCCATGAAAATGTTTAAATATCATTAATTATTTCTGAAAGAAGTTCAAAGTATATTCCTTTTTTTTTTTTTTAACTTTTTTTGATCAACATAATTTAAGTGTGTGCAGGAGTTTAACTATAGGGTCATATACAGTGAGATAAAAAAGGTTGAAAAACACTGCCTTAGGAGGTATGCTGAAAATTCTTTTTTTTTTTTTTTTTGAGACAGAGCCTCAAGCTGTCCCCCTGGGTAGAGTGCTGTGACATTACAGCTGACAGCAACCTCCAACTCCTGGGCTCCAGCGGGTCTCCTGCCTCCGCCTCCCAAGTAGCTGGGACCACAGGCGCCCGCCACAACGCCCGGCTATTTTTTGGTTGCAGCCGTCATTGTTGTTTGGCGGGTCCAGGCTGGAGATTTGAACCTGCCACCTTAGGTGTACGTGGCTGGCGCCTTAGCCGGTTGAGCTATAGGCGCCGAGCCTGAAAATTCTTGATGTTTTTGACCATCACAATGATTAGGGGACAGCTGTGCCCGACCCCCACAATGCCCAGGACCTCCTGACCACCGAGGAAGCATCCTGCACCCTATTTAATGCATTCATGTCCCACTGGACACTGCTGGGTTGGAAATGATGTGAGCCTAGAACTTCATTTTGATTTACATGTAATGAGAAAGTGTTTCTTCTACTAACATACTCTGAATTTTTCAGGAATGGAATATATTGAGGGAAGACTACACTTGCCTTTGTTCAGAACTCTGGTTGAGATGAACCAAAGGCTGTTCATCTCTCAGAAAATCTCATCACCACAGTGACACTACTTGTGAGTATGAGCTGCCAGCCCCACACACCTGCATGAGCTGCTTTCACAGCTGTCCTGCAGAGTGACTTAAAAGAGCAAATACACATAAGCCCTGAGCACACTGCCTGACCTGTAATGCGGGCAGGCGGGCTGTGTGTTCGCTGTCGGATCACCGTCACTACCACCGCACACACAGACACCTGCTTCTGACTGCTTCATTATTTCTTCTAGACGAGCTACACCCAGATGCTTCCATATCACAATATGTCTATTTTATTATCGATTACTTTCATTTCTACTTTATATTAAATTGCCCTCATCAAGGTCACCGGTGTCCTCCACATTCTAAATCCAGTGGTCAGTGCTTAGTTCTCTTCTTACCGACAAGCAGATCACTTTGTCCTCTGATTTAAAAGAGCAAATACACATAAGCCCTGAACATATTGCCTGACTTGGAATGCGGGCTTTGTGCTCACTGTTAGATCGCCATTACTACCACTGCATAGAGTCTGTCCTCTGATCAGACTGTTTCTCATGGTTCCCTTTCCCTGCACCACTCTGGACCCCTTCTCCTGTCTCCACTGCTGCTCCCCTTCCTCTAATTAACCTCTACACTCGGCACTCATGGGCTCCATCCTCTGGTTTCTTCCCATCCACACCTGCTCCTCTGCCCTCACCCTGGCTCAGGGTTTTCAATATCACATGCTTGCTGACGACTGTTTCATTCTTGCCTCCAGCCCAGAACTGTCATCAGACTCTATTCATGCCTCCCTGCCACTTCCAATGCACATTTCTTTTTTTTTTTTTGAGACAGAGCCTCAAGCTGTCCCCCTGGGTAGAATATCCTGGCATCACAGCTCGCAGCAACCTCCAACTCCTGGGCTCAAGTGAGTCTCCTGCCTCTGCCTTCCAAGTAGCTGGGACCACAGGCGCCCGCCACAACGCCCAGCTATTTTTGGCTGCAGCCATCATTGTTGTTTGGCAGGCAGGGCTGGATTCGAACCCGCCACCTTAGGTGTATGTGGCTGGCGCCTTAGCCACTTGAGCCACAGGCGCCGAGCCCCAATGCACACTTCTAAAACCAAACTCCCAGCTTCAATCCCCCAATTTCCCTGTCCCTATTCTTTGCTTTCAATCTGCCTATGACCCTTAACCCCCAGGACATAAGCTCCACGAAGGCCAGGGCTTCTGTCTTATTTATGGCTGCATCCTCAGGGCTGAGCACCCTGCCTGGCCCTGAGCAGGTGCTCATCATGTATCTTTTTTTTTTTTTTTTGTAGTTTTTGGCTGGAGCCGGGTTTGAACCAGCAACCTCCAGTACACGAGGCCGGCACCCCACTCCCTGAGCCACAAGCGCCGCCCATGTATTATTTGAATGAATAAATAAAAATTGGCATTGGGTCCTTGGGTGGAACATCACTGCTCTAAAGTTCCAAGACTTGAGCCTCAATAGTACCCGCCACCTTCAAGAGCCTCATATTCCATAACACTGATTTTCATTCTGGAATGCTGAGGGAGTCCCAGGGTGGTCTTGCCCAGCCCCTGGCCCCCCTGCTAAGACTCACTCTCGCTCCTTGAGTAGCACCTTCTGGGACTCGTCCAGCCGCAGCCGCAGAGCAATCAACTTGGAGGCCTCCTCCTCGGTGGCAGCTGTGTCCTCCCAGGGCAGCCGGCCACGCTCCTGGCGGCCTGAGCTGCTCCTTGGGCCCCCGGGCCCAATGCTTCGTGCCTCCCAGCAGCCCTCAGGCTCCTCTGGTCTGCTCTTCAGAAGGCTCTCCACCAGCTCCAGCTCCTGTGGTGACCAAGGTGAAGGCTGGATCATGGCTGCCAAGCCTTATCCTGTCCACCTTCCTGATGGCCTCTCCCAGGCCCTGGATCTGGTATCAATCAGTTTGCTGGGTAACCTTCAAGTCAAATGATGTCTATGGGCCCTAGTTTCCTATTCTGCTGCCTGCCTCTCCATCTCTACAGGGGGAGGACACACCCTCCTCTGGGCCTCCCCTTTTATACCTCTGAGAATGTCAGAGTCAGCCATCAAGTTTCCCTGTATCCTGGAAGACTCCCCAGGAGAGGTGTGATGAGCTCCCTGTCACTGGAATATGTGAAGATATGATGGGACGCTGGTGGGAATGAATGTTGAAGAGGGATTCCTATGAAGGCTTAAGACTACAGTCCCTCGAAAGGAATTCTAACTGAAAGATCCTATTTTTCAAAGGCAAATGCCAAGGCACCAGGAGATTGGTGACATGGTAAAGCAGCACCCGTGAGTAGAACCAGTGCCCAGGCAGGAAGCAGCCAGGATTACTAACCCGGTGCTGAACACCCTTCCTTCCTGCCAGCCTCCCTTTCCCTTCTGCCCCTCCGGGATGCCCGTTTGGCCCTTAGCCCTGTCCCTGACACAAACCCACGAGGGCCATGGCTCTGTTCTAGCTTCTCCCATGGCCTTTCCAGATGAGTGTGGGTCAGCCCCTTCCCCATCTAGCCCTTGGTTTCTCTATCTGGACTGGGGTGATGGTCCCAAGGACTCCCTGAGAAGTGAGATTCTACTTCTTTGCAGCTCAGATTGTCCAGATGGGGGCATGTGGGATGCTAGCTGGTCCAAAGCCACATTTCACATACGGGAAATAGGGAGGGAAGGGACTTGTTCCGGGCCATGTAGAACTGGGCTGGGCTGGAGTGCCGATGCAGAGTATAACCCCAAGGCTTCTGCCACTGCCCTCAGTCTCCTGGCCTGGGACTGACAACTAGGACAATAGGCCTCAAGCAAGAGCAGTGGACACTTCCAAATAGTAGGTAGACACAGGAAAGAGGTGGCTTCAGGCACAAGGAGGCAGCACTCTTGGCTTCAAGGGTGGGAGGAGCTGGGCAGGAGACAGGAGGGGCAGCTGGAGTCTTATCTGAAGCTGGCCTGTGTTGGGACAGAGCTGGGGAAGTGGTAACAAGCCTGGTGGCTCAGATGAGGTGGTTCTATTACTGTGCCAGCCATGTTGATTATTACTGCGGACTCTGCAGCCAGACCACCAAATTCAAACCCCACCAACTCTAGTCACTAGCTGAGCAACCTTGGTTCTGAACCTCTCTCTGTCTCAGGGTCATCACCATACAGCAAACACCTCAGAGTATTAACTAGAGTTTCTGCAAAAGTGACCCCTGAATGATGAGAGCTATCACCGACATTTCCCAAACTCTCTGGGCCCTCTCAGACCCCCGGCTTTTTGAATTGGCAGTTTCCATCACCTAGAATGCCTTTTGGCACTTTCTACAGCTAATCCCTACTCACCCTCCTAGTCTCAGCTTCATGTGACCTCTTCCAGGAAGGCTCTGTGAAGTCTCTTCCCCAAATCCTGAGTCAGGAACCTCTTCTGGGTTCCTAGTAACCTGATAACCTTCTATCCCTCAGCTTTGATTGAAGTGTTTGCACCTCTCCCCAATTCCAGTTAGAGAAATGAACCGAGTCAGCTGTTACTAACAGAGCTCACTTTCAGGCCAGTTTTGAGATCCCTCTCATGATCAAAGGGAGGATGCCTTAGGTTCTGTTGACTGCTCAGGTGTGGGAGTGGAGGGACCACCAGAACCGGGGATTCTCTCTGCCCAGGACTCCTCCCTGGGTCTTGGAGGGAAAGGTGATCTTTAACAGAGCCTGACCTGGTAGAGTGAAACCTCCGGAAAGCCCTCACTAGTTTCCCGCATCTGAAACTTCATCACAGGCGTACCAGTCCAGCCCGCTTACCGCCCCGCCCCGAGAGCGCATGGGCCCCGCCCCCGCGGCGCACCTGGCCGCCCTGCAGCCTCTCCGACCCGACGTCGCGCACAGGTTCGTGCTCAGGCTCTGGCTCATCGCGCGACTGGTCCGAGGTCCCCCGGGCGCCCCGCAGCCGCGCCAGCTCGCGCCCCCGCGCCTCACACTCGCCCTGAGCCTCCTGGCGCTCGCGTCGCGCACCCGCCAGCTCCTTGGTGAGCGCGTCGAGGCGCTGGCGCAGCTGCCGCACCTCCTCCCGCGCGCGGTTGCGTTCGGCGCGCACCTTGCTCCACTTCTCCCGCCAGTTGGCCGTACAGTCCGACCACCAGCGCATGGTTTTCTCCATCTGCGCCGCCCGCGCCCGTGCCTCCTCCAGCTCCCGCAGTCGCAACTCCTCGCGGCTCTCCCAGTCGCCGTCCGCCAGCAGCGTGGGGGCGGGAGGCAGGGGTAGTGCGGGCGGCGGCCCGGGCGAGGGCGTGCCGCTGGGCGGTGTGGGCGGCAGGGAGTCGGCCGGCCCCATGCGCTCTGGAGATGGGCTGCCCAGGATGGTCAGGAGGCTACCCTTGGACAGCTGTGGGGACTCAGCCAGACGGGGACTCGGACCGTGGCTCATGGTGCGGGAAGGCGGGCCCTGGGCTCTAACTAACGCCCAGGCTCAGGTGCGGCTTGGAGGACGCGGGGCAGGCGGGATAACACTGTGCATGATGGCGCCGCAACGCACTTCTCTCCGGGCTAGCAGGCAGAGGACAGCTCCTTGGATCTACATTGGATCTACAGGAGAACACAGTCGTTATTAAGCTGTTGAAGCCCGCAGTCCACGAATCAGCTGTGCACAGGGGCGCGTAGAGGGAATAGCAAGGAGCAAAAGCTGGGCTGGTAAGCAAGAGCCTTGCATTGGCTTCCTCACCAGCCTGCAGACTCAGGCTCCGATCCCTTCTTCGCAGCAGCAGAGGCAGATCTGAAACCATGATTTGGTATACTAACCTTCACGGTCCCGTGTCACACTGAATGGTGTGCACTGCTCTCCCACCTCTACATGGACCCATGTGGGCGCTGCCAGGAGTCCCCTCCCTGCCCCTTTTAGAAGTAGACTAACTCTAACTTAAAATTTTTTTGAGACACTTTGTTGCCCTCTGTAGAGTGGGGTGATATCATAGCTTATAGCAACCTCAAACTCTTGGGCTCTACTGATCCTCTTGCCTCAGCCTCCCAAGTAGCTGAGACTACAGGCACCAGCCACAACACTTAGCTGTTTTTAGAGACAGGGTCTTGCTCTTGCTCAGGCTGGTCTTGAACTCCTAAGCTCAAGCAATCCACACACCTTGGCCTTCCAAAATGCTAGGATTACAGGTGTGAGCTACCATGCCTGCCCTACCTGGACTAACTGTTCTCATCCTTCAATACTTATCAGAGATACCCCCTCCTTCTAGAAGCCCTCCAGGTGCACCTCAGACCAAGTCCACAACCTCCATCTGTGTCTCCATCACTACACCAACCAACTCTGCTGTGTCATTTATTTGTTATCTGCTCGCCATGCCGTCCCAGGCGATGGGAAGGGACTGGGTCCTGGTTTTAGTCCCAGCACATGATGACAGTGACAATGACATTTGTGGAGGTACAACTACAGGCCAGGCACTGTGCCCAGGGCTTTATGTGAATGATCTCATTTATTCTTCCCAGACCTGAGGTGAGGGAAACTGCCGTCACCATTTACAGTTATGAGGCCAAATCCAAACACTAGTGAGGACTTGCTGAATAAATGCATGCCCTGCTGACAATGATGGGAATAAACTGGTCTCCTAGATGGTGGGGGTGCGGGTACAATACGATGTTCCCTGCCCTTCTCTGCCAGACACCCTCACTCACTGCAAGGTCTCCTTTCCCTCTCCCTTGTGTCTCGCCTAAGACTCTCTAATACCCCACACAGCGCTCTGCCGTTCATGGGCCATGCCTCCCTTTAAAATAAATGAGATGCATGTCTCTTTCTGTCCCCAGCCTGCCCCACTATCCCTCCATGGTGGCCTCAGCCCCTGGAGACATCATACCTGTCCTTCCCCATTAGGACGAGCCCTGCCCTTTCTGAGTGATCAGTGAGCTGCTGGCGGGTCCCACTGAGCAGTGCCTCAACACTGGCTGCCACATACACCTCTCTGTCCCTTCTCCACCCCTTCCAATCTCTAATCCGCTTCATTTTGGGAGGTGATCTAATGTTACAATTAGCAGTGAAAAGGGAAGCTTCTTGGGTCCAAGCCCCACAACCCCCTTTGGGGGACATCCTGGAATCTGCTTCCTCCCTTCCTCAGCCCGCCACCAAATCCTATCAGTCTGTGTTACTTACATCACTGGGGGCCATTCACCTTCTTTGTTCACAGCCACTAATCTGTCAAGTCCTACAGCATTTTCACCCACCTGGGCAACTGCACCTACTACCTCCACCCACACTTTTGACTCCTTCAAATTCATTCTCAACAGCAGCAGCCAAACTGAGTGTTTAAAAATGCAAACTTGACCATGCTGGTAGCCATGACCTTGGTCATTACCAAATAGCTGTGTCAATTGCAAACTCACCCCTTTTAAGGCACTGATACAGTTTGGGTATCTGTTCCCTCCAAATCTCACCCCTGCTAAAGTTTGATCCCCAATGTTGGAAGCAGGGCTTGGGGAAGGGTCTGGGTCCTGAAGACAGATCTCTCACAATGGCTTGGTGTCCCTGGAGAACATCTTGGTGAAAAGGAGCACCTCCTCCAGCCCCTCTCCCTTACCATGTGACATACCAGTGTCCCTTTGCCTTCAACTATGAATAGAAGCTTCCTGAAGACCTCAACAGAAGCAGTGCTTCCCCCATGCTTACACAGCCTGCAGAACCATGAATCTCTTTTCTTTATAAATTACTCAGCCTCAAGCAATCTTTCACAGCAACACAAAAACAGATTAAGACAGAGTCTAACTTCAAGCTTTAATCCTAGCAGGCGTCACAACCCACTGATCTCACCACCTGTTTGCTTTCTGCACTGCCCACCCCCATGTCCTTATCCCTCCCCTAGCTCACATTCCCTAATTTCTCCCTATTTTCTCCCTATCAAACACCTTCAGGGCCCCCCACTCCCTCTCCTGTTCTTGCCTCTTTAGGCAAACCACAAGCCTGGTTACTCAAATCCATTGCTCTGCTTGCTCTTGTATCACCTGGAGAGCCAGGCATCACAGCTTTTACACTACCATGTGGAACAGTGTTATTTCAAGTTCATGATCTTCGGCGTCATGGTTCCCTGATGCTGCTCAGCAATCTGACTATATTTCTCTAGTCTGTTGCTGATTGTTTATTGTCTGTCTGCCTTTACCAGACATGACCTTCAGGCCCAGCTCTGTTACCAGCCTCATGCCTCATGTAAACTGCTGTCCCTTTATGGGCCTGTTCCTAATAGAAGTGGAGTGAGGGAGACCAGTACTTCTCTCTCTCTCTCTCTTTTTTTTTAGACAGGGCTTTAAGCTGTTGCCCTGGGTAGAGTGCTGTGGCATCACAGCTCACAGCAACCTCCAATTCCTGGGCTTAAGCGATTCTCTCTTGCCTCAGCCTCCCATGTAGCTGGGATTACAGGCACCTGCCACAACACCCAGCTATTTTTTGGTTGTAGTTGTCATTGTTTGGCAGGGCTGGCTTCGAACCCGCCAACTCTGGTGTATATGGCTGGCACCTTAGCTGCTTGAGCTACAGTCGCTGAGCCAGAGACCAGTACTTCTCAATTCACATTCACCCGGACATTTGTTGAAAATGCAGTTCCCGGCTTGGCGCCTATAGCTCAACCGGCTAAGGCGCCAGCCACGTACACCTAAGGTGGCGGGTTCGAATCCCCAGCCCGGACCCGCCAAACAACAACGACAGCTGCAACCAAAAAATAGCTGGGTGTTGTGGCGGGCGCCTGTGGTCCCAGCTACTTGGCAGGCAGAGGCAGGAGACTCGCTTGAGCCCAGGAGTTGGAGGTTGCTGTGAGCTGTAATGCCACGGCACTCTACCCAGGGGGACAGCTTGAGGCTCTGTCTCAAAAAAAAAAAAAAAAAAAAAATGCAGTTCCCAGGTCCCATCCCCTAGAGAGTCATGTTCAGCAGGTGTGGTGCTGGGAATTTGCATTTTAGTGGTATAGGACATTTGAGTATTCAGTTATGCCTTCTTATTCTGCCAACCACGGTTCCATAAACACACACATCTCAGTAATGTAATACCTGCATAAAATCATATGCCCAGACACAACTGTACAGAAATGTCATCTAGCTACACAGATTCAGGCTCAGTTCCGTACACTACCGACACCCTTAGAGATCCCTGGAAGACTGTGCTGTGACTTAGTCCCTTTGCCTGTGCAATCAAGTATCCAGCCTTGATGACATGCGTGTTCACAGACATCAGTGCACACAGACACATCTGCAGAAATACACAGTTCATACACATAAATATGGATGCAAAGTCACACAGGCAGATACAAGACACACATGTACTCAGAGATGCCCATGTATGCAAGCACCTACACAGATGTGCAGAGAAACACCTAGGACATGGACACACTGGAAGACATAACACATGCCAGAATGCTGACAGAAAGACACAAAGATACATACTCATCCCTAAGAGAAGCAGGCAGACACACACACACACACACACACACACACACACTCCTTTTCCTGGCTCAGCTCCACATGGAGAAGCTCTTGGAAAAGGAAAACAATGTGAGAGCCTGTGGGGGTGGAGGAGGAGGAGTGGGAGGCAGGAAACCCCAGTGCCAGCCAGCAGCCCCACCAGAGCTGGGCTGGGAACAGGGGCCTGGCCCCTGTTTGCCGTCCCTAAACTAGAAGTGTGGCAGGGCAGGGAAGGGGCCACTGCCACATCTTCTCTGCCTCTGGGAGCTGCCAGCCCTGGCACAGGGCTTGGCTGGGAGGGGACTACTGACTCCTTCCAGGAATCCCAAGCCTGTCCCTTGCAGAGGCAGGGCAGGCGCCACCCAGGCCCCTAATGGCTTCCAGGCACCCATGCTAAAGGCAGGGGTGAGGGCTCTAGACTCAGCTCTGTTCTCCTTCTCAGTCACCTTGGCTGGACCCTTCCTGGGGGCTGGGAGAGGAGGAAGGGGAGCAATGGGAGAAGGGAGGCTCTAAAACAATCTTCCAGCAGGTCGAGGGGCCCTGGGGCTGTGTGTGTGCATGCCTATGGGAAGGGGTTAGGATGGAAATTATCAGGCTGGTGCTCTGGAAAAGCCCCTCAGCTCACCAGAAATTCTGCCACCCACACAGACCCAAAGCCAGCCAGATCCTGCCTAGCAACGCCTTTCCCCACCCTCACTCTACCAACATAACAGCATTGGGGACACACACTCACACATGGCCCTGGTAACGGACACATTCACCAAGAGATAGACACAACACAGAGACATGGCTCACAGTTGTGGAGATGGGCTCCAGCTGCCCTCCTGCCTGCCACTTCCCATGGGCGTATGTACACGTATATGCCATCTAGCTATACAATTCATGCTCAGCCGCATGACCTCCCAGGGTATCACCTCCTACCCCATGGAGTTCAGGGTAGGACTAGCCCTACCATGGGTCTCATGGAGGCTTGCCCACCCCACCAGCCAGATGGGTCAACTCTTACTCTAAGCCTTTGGGTTTCTGTTCAGGCCATTCCCCTAATCCCAAATGCTGCCCTCCCAGACTCCAAAATCCCAGCCCATCTTCAAGCTCCACCTCTAGGAAATGCCTGACCCCCCAGCTGGGGAGCACAGCCCTACAACCTCCCACAGCCAGATCCAGCCAGCTCCCCTCTCTCTTGTAGCACAGGTTCTCTCTCACCCAGAGGGGACTGCCACTCAGAGCTCCTAGGGCAAACCCAGCATATATCTGTTGCTTTAAGCTGGCTGGTGGGGTGGAGAGAAGGCTGAACTGTGACCCCGTGTTCCTTTAGCTGGGAATCAGAGCTGACTGGAGCCCAAAGCTCCTGAACCCCAGTCCCACAGCTGTGCTCACTCCAGAACAGAAACAATAATGTTTTGATCAGTTACTTCCTGCAGGTTAGGCCCTCACCAGTCCTGCCCACAGAAAGTGACCAGTGGTTCCTGTTACTTGTGGACTTATCTTTCCCTCATTCATCAATGAACTCCTATACATCCTTCAAGACCCACCTCCAGTGTTCCCTCCCATGGGAAGCCCTCCCCAAACTCTGTTCAGAGTATGTTAGTTCTCCTAAAGCACTAGGCGCCTCCTTGTTCTAAGGCAACGGTCACACTGCGAAGTCCACAAGGGCATCTTGGTCTCAGTGGCTATCAGCAAAGGGCCCAGCAGATACATCATGGATAGCAGATGGGACAGATGCTACTGTTAGGGATGCTCTGGTGACCAGGGAGAGTTTGGGAAGGCTGAGTCAGTCTGTGGCCAGGCTCTGTGATGGAAAGGTATCTGAGTCTGTCTGTGGACAGGGTCAGAGTCAGAGGTCATCTTGTGGTCAGGTCAGGGTACAGCTTCTTGCCTGAGGAAGCCTAAATGACCTACAGGAGGACAACCCTGCATTTTATCCTTAGCATGACTGGATGGGTCTGTCCATATCCAGCAAGAGGAATGAGCAATGCTGAGGCCTGGATGGGTGCCAGCTGAAGGGATGAGGTGCCCATAGTAGCTCACCTCCATCCCCCAGCTCAGAAACTTGTATGTCCTTCTAGAACCTTTCAGGTGGGGATCTGGGGTGAGCCCATGGCCACAGGCCTGGCTGTGGGCAGGGAGCAGAGCCCAGTGGGAAACCACAGAGGACAGCCTGATTGGATAAATGCAGGGCCCAAGGCTGGTCAGCCCACAGACTGTGGGCACCTGTCCCACTGACCTGCTGCCCAGGCTCCAGCTGCTGGACCTCCAGGAGAGGGCTGGAGGGAAGGGGAGACCAAGGGTTGGCCTCTAGGCTGGGCCTGAGTCCAGGGGAAGACACCTCCTGGCCTATTCTCAGGAACCCCTCTTTCAGACTGAGGAGCCACAAAGATATCCTGGATCACTGTTTTGAACTCTTTTCTTTACAGATGAGCCAACTGAGTCTCAGAGGCAGCTACTTGTCCACAGCCAACCAGTAGCAAAGCCAGGTGGGGAGCTGGATGAGATCTGGCTGAGACCAGACCCTCCTGAGACCGACCTGAAGGGCACCTACAAGATAGGGTCTTCAGGCACCAGGCCAAGTAGACAAGCACAGCTGGAAAGGAAGACTTTTTGGATCCTACCCCAGCTCCAGACCTTTCAGCAACTCCTTGAACGTTCACTCATGTATAGAGACTTCTCACCAGTCTCAGCTCTGCCACTGCCCTGCTGTGTGATATCTGCAAGTCCTTACCCTCTCTGGGCCTCAGTTTCCCTCCCTATAGAATGGGTATAGGCACCAAAAAGATTCATGAAAGCTCTGTCCCACAGGTGGGCAGACCCTATGCCAACCTAAACCAACCCAACCCTCATAACAGCCCTATGAGAGCTGGAGTGGGATGGTGGATGATACTTAAAGTAGAGAAACTAAAGCCCAAGCCCAGAGTCACCTTAGTCCTCACTTAGTCGGTCCCCCCTCTGGCCACACGGCCCGGCGAGCCGCCCAGCTTCTCCTAGCCGCAAGCGGAGCCCCCTACCCACCCAACACAAACCGGTCTGCACCGGGCGGCCCCATTGGAAGGCGTCGCGGGTCTAGGCGGTGGCACTGAGCTCTGATTGGCCAGTGCCGCCGTCCATCAGGCACTCGCCATGGTGACCACGTTGGGTCCCCCGGGAGAGTTCCAAATTCCGCCCCCGCCCGCCGCCCCCCTCCTGTCCGGCCCCGGCCCGCATTCCGAAGGCGTCTCCCCCCGCCCGCCATCTCTTCGCGGCCCCTCCTCACCCAAGGCCTGCGGCCCCAGGAGGTGGGGGAGCCCAGGGAGGGGACCGCAAAGTTCTGCTCTGAGTTAGGGGGTTGCTGCGGGCGCCCCTACTGCTGCTTGCTTCTCTAGCACGCCCCCAACTTAACCCCTTTCTTCCCGCGGAAGGTTCTCGGCGCGGAGCAGAGTTCCTTGGCTGTAGTAGCTTTCTGCCCCCCTCACTACCGCCCCCGCTCACCTCGGGCCGGGACCCGCGGGCTCCGGACGTCCGACCCGCCGCGGCAGGGTGGAGCGGGCAACGCGCTGGCTGCGGCCGCCGCCGGAGGGCCGCGGAGTCTCCTCCTCCCTCCTGGGGGGAGGGGAAAAAAGGGGGGGCGGCGGGGCCCCTGGGCGAGCGCAGGCTGCGGCCCCGCGGTGATCCCGGCGGGCCGAGTTGCTGGGGTGGGGGGCACCAGCCTAACCGGGGCGAGGGCGCAGGCCAGACCCGTGGGCTCTACTGGAGAGCGGGCCGGACCCAGACGGAGGCCCCACCTCCGTGGGGGGACGGAAGGCAGGGTCCAGGGCCCCGTAGGGGCTCGGCTTTTCCCGCCTCAGGTTTCCTGAGCGCCAACGACGTATTAGGCGCCGCGGCGGCAGAAGTGGCACGGCGGGTCCAGACTCAGCACGTGGAGCGTGCTCACCAAGTCTTCACTTTTGTTACTGTATCCGCATCCTTCCTGGTGCTAGCTCTGCCACCGATGAAACCAACAAGTCTGTGTTTGCATTGGGCCTCAGTTTCCCCTTTTGTATAACAAAAGGGCTGACAAAGCGATTTCACACCTGTTACGGTGAGAGGTTGGGGGACCTAGCCCTGGCAGTGGAGACACTTTTTCTGCCCCCCTTTGTCCCCTCGCAATGCGATGGTGTTGATAGTAACATGCTTTGTGCTTAGGCTTCCTCTTTCTTGGGCGTAGGGTGTCTGAGGTCTCTGCGGGGAAGGGGGGCCCCTTGTCACCACATCCTGTACTAGGAAAGGACGACTGAGGTGAATCTACTTTTAAAAGAGAACCAAAAATTCGCAAAGCTGGAGGGAACCCGGTTGGATTCGGATTTTACATAGAAAAAGAAACTAAAAGTGATAAAGAAGTTAGTTTTACCCCATGATTAGTAATGTTTAGGAGAATGAATCAAATGTACTTCTCCTGACCAAGTTGAGTAGTAGCATCCTTTCCTCCTGAATCATCTTTTTTTGCAAATATTTTGCAAACCTGAGGGTCATTCTGAATCCTTTGACGGTTTCCTTGCAGATGGTTCCTAGCTTTGTGGTTAACTGCGGCTCCATTTCCCCCTCCCCCAATGCTTCCAGCAACTTCATGAAATCCCACACTTTTTGCAAGATTTGTAGTTTTGCTTGTGGATTGATTTGCCCTGTGCTGTTGAACATTGACAGCATCTGATAAGCAGCTAGAGACAGATTTTGGTGGGGATGTGTGGGGTTTGAGTACTTAGGACAAGGACAGCCCTATTTTAAAGCTGGGGAAGTGAAGGCTGAAAGGGGCCCGTAATTCAGTCTTAAAGGAGGCCCACAGCCAGTAAGTGACAACTTGGGGAGGCCAGAACTGTTGCCCAGAGTTTTGGGAGGTGGGGATAGAGCTGGAGAAGGTCATGGAGACTGAGTTGATAGTCTACCTACACTGCAGCTATAACCTCATACTGATTGGGCTCTTTCTGGTAAAGGAGGAAGGGATTACGCTGGGGCGGGTGTTTCTTGTAGAGGAGGGACCCACCTGCTCATCGCACCAAAATGGTTGCTGGCCTTAGGCTTTACAGCCTCCCATGGGTGGGAGGGGGCTTGGTATTTTGTTTTCAGAGATGGGTTCTTACTCTGTCAGGTTGGAGTGCAGTGGTCAGATCATAACTCACTATAACTCTGAGCTCATGTGATCCTTTCTGCCTACCGAAGTGCTGGGATTATAGGTATGAGCCGCTGTGCCCAGCCTCACCATTCATAGTGAGGAAAATGAAGATCAAAAGTCAGGTGACTGGCCTAGGGTCACACTGGGAGGTCTCAGACCCCAGATCTGCCTCTTAATTTTACCATACTCACCTCTGTTCCTGAAAGCACAACTTCCAGGAATCTCTCTGAATACTGTGTACGTCTGGTGTCAGCCTCCCCAGTGGCTCCCGCAGTTTCTCTCTCCAACTCAGGTCAGTGGGGTTTATGACTGAGGTTTGTGTCCCTATTTCCCACACGTCAGCAGTTCCCTCTTCTGTATCGCTGCTGCTATCGTTTGCCACTAACTTGTAGCACTTGTGCCCTTATTTACTTAGCATTTTTCTTAAAATCATTTCACTTCTTAGGACATAAGTGTATTTTCAGGGACTATTTCATGTTACTAAGGTAAACAGAAATCTCTCACTTGCCACAGACAAAAGAAAATAAAAAATAGTATGCCAACAAAACAATGTTATTGAAATCTACCTAGAAAAGAGGGGCATATTTTGTGTACCCCAGTTCATGGTAGCATTATTCGCAATAGCCAAAAGGTGGAAACAGCCCAAGTCTCTATCACAGTGGTTCTTAACCTTCCTAATGCAGTTCCTCATATTGTGGTGACTCCCAATCATAAAATTATTTTTGTTGCTACTTCATAACTGTAATTTTCCTACTGCTATGAATTGTAAATATCTGATATGCAGGAGACCCCCAAAGGGGTCGCGACCCACTGGTTGAGAACCACTGCACTGGTGAGTGGATACACAAAATATTATGTATATACGTGTAGTAGACTATTAGTCAACTTTAACAGAATGCATACTACATCATGGATGAACCGTGAAGACATCCTGCTAAATGAAATAAGCCAATCACAAAAGGATAAATACTATATGTGATTTTACTTATATGAGGCATCTGAAGTCGTCAGATTCATAGAACCAGGCAGTGGTTCCCAGGGGCTACCAGGAGGAGAGGATGAAGAGTTTTATTTAATGAGTAGTATGGAGTTTCATTTTGAAAAGATGAAAAAGATTTGGAGAGAGATGGTGGTGATATTTGCATAATAATGTGAATGTGCTTAATTCTACTGAACTGTACATTTTAAAATGGTTAGAATGGTAAGCTATCATATATTTTATAATAAAGAATTTAAAAATCATCTTGTTTTTAATGTCTGATAAAAGATTGAAAATGGGAAAAAAAGGCGGGGCATAAGTCAGTGTTAGGGAGGGATTAAAACAAATTAGCCCTAAACTGAAGCTTCTGCTGGACACAACCAAGGTCAAGAAAGACTTAGAAAGTGATGCTTAGGTGGGGCACAGTGGCTCATGCCTGTAATCCTAGCACTCTGGGAGGCTGAGGCAGGAGGACTACTTGAGCTCAGGAATTGAAGACCAGCCTGAGTAAAAGCAAGACCCTGTCTCTACTACAAATAGGAAAATTTAGTCTGGTGCTGTGGTGGGCACCTGTAGTCCCAGCTACTTGGGAGGCTGAGGCAGGAGGATCGCTTGGACCCAGGAGTGTAAGGTTGCTATGAGCTATAACATAACACCATGGCACTCTAGCTTGGGCAACAGAGTGAGACTGTTTAAAAAAAAAAAAAGGAAGGAAAGGAAAGAAATATTTAGTTCATCTAAATTTGGAGTCCCACTTACCAGAGTGCCCCTACCTGGGAGACACTTCACTCTGCATGGTGTATAACCCTCCTCCCTGCCTGGGATCTGGGTTGCATGGGGTTAGACCATGAAGGCAATAGGAAGCCAGTGCTGACATTTGAGCAGGAGAATGTCTTGGCAATGTTTTCAGGACCCAGAGTTCAGGGCTAGATAACTGGAACCCCCATGAGATAGGGCATGGTGAGGCTGCTACAAATTCAGGCTGCAAAACAGAGGGACTGAGGGATCTCCTCCTGTGCCCTGAGAGCAGCCTCTTGGGCTCTGATACACTATGAGGAAGGAGGTAGCTAGCATTGCAATCTTAGAGGTGGCTAGAATGCCTCAAAAAGGAAGGACCTGGAGGTTAAGGTCTGGGTCACGGTCAAAGAAAGGTTAAGGTCTGGGTCACGGTCAAAGAAAGTGCAAAGAAGGACAAGTCACCCAGTAGGAGTGTGGCCAAGGAGTCAAAACACAGGTGCACTGGGGTCCCTGCAAAGCCTCCTCACTGCAGTTGGGGTGGGAGGCTGGCTGCCCTCCAAGGTACAATTTCCCTCCCTCTTCCCCCAGAGGCCACTTGTGCTCCCAGTGGGCTGTGCTTGGGCTGATGCTGGAAAGGCCCTAGGTAAGGACAGAGAGGAGGGAACATGTCTGGTTCTCCCTTTCATTGTATCTCAGTCTTATCCTCAGTAGAAGAAAAGCACATTCTTGAGTCACTATTTCCCCAGGGAATCTGGATGGAGTCCAGGCAAGTGAGGATGTCCCCTCTACCAACACACACCCACAAACACACATATACACAGAGTCACTATGGAGGGTATGACAGGCTCATCCAAACCCCTGACTTGAGGAGGAGCTGGCCAGCTTTCCAGCCCTACTGTCTGGCCACGTTTTCTGAGCTCTGCAGACTTCAGGTTTCCCATCTGTGAAACGTGACAGCTTTATACAACACTTTCAGTGACTTTGCCAGCCTTACTTTTGGTAAGTACCCCCACAGAGTGGTACTGTCATTATTTCCATTTCACAAAAGAGAAATATATTCAAAAGAGTGCCCTAGGTGACTTACTTGTGTCAAGTCAGCCAGCTAGTAAATGCTGGGCTTGGGTCTTGAACCCAGGCAGTCTGACCCAGCCCTTGCCTGAGGTCCTTGCCATCATCAATCCCATTGATCATAAGGTCATGTGGGGATCATTCTCCGTTTTCTATAGCTGGGGCAACTAAAGCCCAGAGAGGCAACATATGTCACCCACGGGTGCAGAGTGGAAGTGGGTCATGAACCCTACTACATGATGCCACATTGCCTGCTCTTCAAGCACTGCCATAGAAGTGTGGCTGTCCCAAGAAGTGCGGCAGGGCTTGGGGAGGTGAGAGCAAGAGGTGACATGGGCATGGCCATCAGCTCAGGAAGCAAAGAGGCTGCTGGCAAAAGAAGAAGTGAAGTGAGGTCGGGCTCAGTGGCTCACGCCTGTAATCCCAGCACTCTTGGGAGGCCGAGGCTGGCGGATAACCTGAACTCGTGAGTTTGACACCAATCTGAGCTAGAGCGAGACCCATCTCTAAAAAAATAACTGGGTGTTGTGGTGGGCGCCTCTAGTCCCAGCTACCTGGGAGGCTGAGGCAAGGGGATTGCTTGAGCCCAAGAATTTGAGGTTGCTGTGAGCTGATGCCACAGCACTCTGCTGAGGGCAACAAAGTGAGACTCTGTCTCAAAAAAAAAAAAAGAAGAAGTGAAGTGAAAGTGCGGTGTGGAATTAGGGTAAAGGGAGCAGAGAGAAGTCAAGTGGCATGTGGGCGTGGGATGAAGAGAGGGCTGTCGGCAGCTGCTCCACCTCACTTCTTCTTCCTGCAGAAGCAGCAGGACCTCAGCCGGGGCAGCAGCTGAGACTGCAGCGGCAGCTTCACAGGTGGGCCTCTCCTCCCTGTACCCCTGCCCTCAGCTCTCTGTTCTTATCCCAGTGGTCACTGGGCATGTCCTTGTCCAGATGGGCACAGGCCTGGTGACATCCCAGGAGCAACAAGCTGGGGGCCCTCACTCCCTTCTGGCTGGCAACTCCAAATCTGGGGAAATGTAGAGAGCTGTGTTTTTGGAAGAAGAGGCAATTTAAATTAAGGAGTGATTAGGCACCGGGTTCACAAATTAGTCCCCCTATGTGGCCTGGGGCAAGTTACTGAACCTTTCTTTTCGGACCTTAGTTTCCTCATCTGTAAAATGGGCTTAGTTCAGTAACTTGCACCTTGAGTGACAGTCAGATGCTTAATGCAGGGCCTGGCACAGAGTTTGTGCTTGGCAGACTGAAGCAGGTGCATTTCTTCTCAGAGTAAGTTGGAATAGAGCCTGGGGTCAGCATGTCTCAGGGAAATGGCCTTGGCTTTGGCTTGGTCACAGACTCCCCACTGAACTTTGACAAGGCCTCCTGTTTTTCACCTGTGAAATGGGACTAATAATAACATCTCTTAGGGTTTTTTGTTGTTTTTTTTTTCCCAGAGATCAGAGATTCATTCCTTACCCAGGCTGCAGGGAAACCAGGGGTGGGGCTCCAGACTGTGGCCGACAGAGGCAGCTGTGCCTGGCAGAGGTAGCTATCTGGTGGATATAGGTGGGGCCATGTGCAGAAACAGGGCTGGCTCAGCAGGCCTGGTGCTGCTGGGGAGGGGGGGTTCGAGAGTACACAGTCAGCTCAAGGGTGGAAGAAAGGGGTTCTAAAGCCCCACTCAGATGTCTTTCTGGCTAAGGACTTTGGTCAGAGCCCTGGACCAGGGCCAGGGCCTGGTTCCCAGGAGTGTGGGGCAGGGAAATATGTATTCTGAGTCTCTTTCCCTTGACCTCATTTTATAGATGAGAAAACCTGAGGCACGCAGAGGTCAAGTTCCTTACCTAATGTCATATAGTCCAGGCACCAAATACTGGAGCTGGTTATCAAATTCCCGTCATCCAAAGGCTCTGTCCTGTGTTCCGCGTGTCTCTTCATCTCTCTGTTATCCTAAAGAAGATCTTACTTGTCCAAATAGCAGCTCAGCTACTCAACCATCTCTGGAAGGCTGCCTTGTGCAGGGGGTGGAGCCCTGGATTTGGAATCTGAGTTTGAGCCCGGGCTTGATCACTTGCCTGCGGTAGACCCCCAAGCAAATTTCTCTTCCGTAGTATTCAGTTTCCCTGTGGTCAGTTGGAACTATCTTGGTAGTCAGGTAGGGGATTTCTGTTACCCAGAGGGCCCCCATAACCAATTGCAGGGTAGAGAATGAAATCACTGAACATGTGTGGTGTTGGAGTGTGGTGACTTCTCTGAAGGGTGGGCAGGGGGATGCTGGAGGTTGCAAGGAGACCTAAAGACTGATTTGCTCCTGGGAAAGGTGGTGGAAACCACAGCTTCTATCTGAGGTATTTGGTGGAGATGTCACTTCTGCTTTGTTCTGGAGAACCGTTGTGTGATGGGGTTAGGCTCTTTGCTTGGTGTCTGTCTGCCAGCAGTGGCTAAGGGCCTGGGGACCTGGCCTTCGGGTCAGATGCTAGAGGTCAAATCCATCTGTTTTGTCTAGCTCTTAATTTCCATATTAGTAGAGTGAAGGGCTGGACACTCTGGCTTGAGGTCCGGTCTGTACTATCAGGTCCTCCACTTTGGGGCCCCAGTTTTCTCACCTAAAATATTTCAAATTGTTTCATTCAGCCTCTTCCTTTGTCTGCTTAATCCCTTTCCCTAGTTTCTTCTCTGAGGTTCTGAGCGGGCAAGTGAATCACCCAAAGTAACATAGTCAATCAACCAAATAGCCAAATAAATAAGAATCCAGCACTCTGTGACTCCAGAGTCTCGCTCCCTCTATGAAAATAAACATATATATTAGGAAATAGTGTTAAGAAAAATGAGTGACCATCTGGGGAAAATACTAAAATTGGTTCTCTATGTGCTGTACTCCAGGACCAATGCTCACGGTCTGGAGATTCCAATGTGAAAAACGAAACCATAAAAAGTATTAGAATTTTCTATGTCATGAGTCGTAAATTTTAAAAAAGTATAAGAAGAAACATAGCAGAAGTCTTTCATAATATGGGAGTAAAGAAGGCTTTTCTATCAACAGTGCAAAATCCAGAAGCCAAGAGATAAAATACTGATAAATTTTATTCCATAAAATTATTTAAAAAGCTAATTCTCCATGGGCAATAAAAGGCCATATAAATTTGTAACCCATGTAATACAGCTGATTTTCCTATTATATAAAGTTTCTAGAAATTGATAAGGAAAAGTCTAAGCCAATATAAAAGTGGGCAAATGGTGATCTTTCCCATGTGGGAAATAACATAAATACAGCCATACTGTGTGTAGCTATAGCAGTTTTTGCAAATGACTAGAGCCACACACAGCATTAACAGGGGACTGGTTAACCCTACAATAATAGAATATGCAATTGAAAAAGTGGAAGCTCTCCAAGGTGTATTTTCAAGTGAAAAAGCAAAATGTAGAATGGTATATAGAGTATGTTACTTTCTATATCAACTGAGAAAAATGTTTGTTTGCTTATGAAGAAAGTCCAGAAAATATACAACACACCTGTCATGCTGGTTTCCTGGGAATGACTGGGAACTGAGTGAGTGAGTGACACAGTTGGTACCTTTTTGTATCTATTTATTGTAAAGACGAACATTTCTGAACTATCCAAAGAGTAAATAAAAATTGAAAAAATGTAGGCCGGGTGTGGTGGCTCACGCCTATAATTTCAGCACTCGGGGAGGCCAAGTTGGGTGGATTGCCTGAGCTCATGAGTTTGAGATTAGCTCGTGCAAGAGTGAGAACTTGTCTCTAAAAAAAAAATAGCTGGGCATTGACAGGTGCTAGTAGTCCTAGCTATTTGGGAGGCTGAGGCAAGAGAATTGCTTGAGCCCGAGAGTTTGAGGCTGCTATGAGCTATGACACCACGGCACTCTACCCAAGGTGACAAAGTGAGACGATCTCAAAAAAAAAAAAAATTGAAAAATGTACAGCTATAACATATGGGGAAATACGAGAAAATAGAGATAGGCAAAACACATAAGCCCATAATCTCACCACCCACAAGTGACCGTTGCCTATACCCACATGTGCATCTTCTAGATTTTGCATATATTAAAAATAATGATTTTTTGCAAGGATGTGATGACATTGTTTTGCAACATGATTTTTGTCTTTCCTAAGCAAATGTCGCTATTTTTTTCCACATTGATAAATAGTAAATTGGAGCATTTAAAAAAAGCCTAGGCATTAGACAATTTTGTTTTCCTCTGTGAAGGTAGCATATGTTTGTTATGGAAAATTTAAACAATATAGAAAATATAAAGAAGGAAGAAAAATCCTCCCTTCAAAAAACATAATTAACATTTTAGTGACCTTTCTTTTAGATAAACTGATGTGCTTCAATATGCATACAAATATATTTTCCATCAATGTGATTATATTATGTATGTTCTTTTCTTTCTTTTCTTTTTTTTTGAGCTCAGGTAATCCACCCGCCTTGGCCTGCCCACTGCGCCTGGCCTTATAGGTGTTTTTTTCAGCCAGCTGTTTCTACTCAATGATGTACTCTGCTCCTTTTTTACATGGCCACATAAACTTTTTTTTTTTTTTGAGACAGAGTCTTACTTTGTTGCCCTCGGTAAGGTGCTGTGGCATCATAGCTCACAGCAACCTCAAACTCTTGGGCTCAAGTGATCCTCTTGCCTCAGCCCCCCAAGTAGCTGGAACTAAAGGCACCTGCCACAATGCCTGGCTATTTTTCAAAGACTGGATCTCACTCTTGCTCAGGCTGGTCTCGAACTCATCTGCTCAAGTAATCGGCTGCTTCAGAACTTCCAGAATGCTGGTATTAGACATGAGCCACTGCACTTGGCCTCATAAACATAATTTTTAATAGTGGAATGGCAAGCCATTGTACTGTATTTTTTAATTTTGAATTTTGAAAAACTTCCCAGGAGATTGCAGAAAAATAGTACGGAAAAGTTCCACGTACCCTTCACTCAGTATTCTCCATAGTAACATCTTATACACCTACAGTGCAATATCAAAACCAGGAAGTTGGCTTTGGTACAATTCACAGACCTTGTTAGATTTCACCTGTTTTACGTGTACTCATTTATGCGTGCAGTTTGTATGGTGAGCGCATTTTACCTTTATGAGAAGCTGTCAATCTGTTTTCTATGCAGTTTTATCCTGTGTGTAGGTTCCTGTAACCACCACCACAGTCAAGACACTAAACTGTTCCATTGCCACAAGGATCCCTTGTGCTACCTTTTAAAGACACGTACTCTCCCTCCCTAAACCTTTCCAACCACTCATTTGTTCATCTCTTTAATCTTGTCACTTGAAGAATGTTACATAAATTGAATCATACAGCACATAACATTTTAAGATTGGCTTTTTTTATCCTCAGGATAATGACCTTCAGATGCAAGTTGTGTGTATCATCGTTTTGTAGGAAATTTATTTTTGTGTTGCTGAGTGCATTTCATAGTATGGATGTATCACAGTCTTACCAGTTACCCCTGAAAGGGCCAATGAGGTTCCCAGTTAGGGACTATTATGAACAAAGCTGCTGTGAATGTTTCTGTATAGATTTTTGTGTGATCACGAGGTTTTATTTCTCTGAAATAGAAGTCCGAGAGTACAATTATTTGCTCATACAGTAGATATGTGTGTTTATTTTTATATGAAACTGACAAACTGTTTTCCGGAGTGGCATTGAACTGTAAATTACTTTCTTCCTCTGCTGGTAGACATCTATGTAGGTTTTAATTTTTCTTTATTAACTTGCTCATCTTTATTAACTCTTCCTGTTCTGCTCCGACGTGGGAAAATGTCAGACCCGTTTTTGTTGATGTTGTTCTATTTGTGTGCCTGCTCCACGGTGGGAGCCTGTCTGATGAATTTCCTCAGGTCGTAGGGACTCCAGCCAACAGTTAGCGCAGGTTGTACTCTGTGTTTCTCGGCAGGCCGTGTGTTTTGATACGAACAGGTGATTGTGTGTTGTATTCACGCGGTTGTGCTTGTAGGAAAATGGCCTGCCCCAGATAAATAAGAGCTGGGGAGTGTGCAGGTGGCAGACACACTGGATCATTTCCACAGGATAAATTATAACAGTGAATTTCCTGGGTCAAAGGATATTCCGAACAGAATGTTCAAATGTATCCCTTGGAGATGAGGCTCTTGACGTTGACAGAGTGGAGAAATGTGCCTGTCTTTCTATACCCTCGCTGGGTGCTATCATATTTCAGAACTTTGCAAACCCAAGGGTGGAAAAATTAAAGCTCATGCTCTCACCTCCTTCCCGCTGCCACTACCGTCATACAGGTGTTTTTCATTTTGTGGTTCTCCCTTGCTGAAGCTCTGTGGGGTTTTTTTTGTGTGTGGCTTTCTTTCCTGGAAGACTCTCTCTCTTGCCTTCCCTTCCTCTTTTTGTTTCCTCCTCTCCATCCTCTCAATATGTTTTTTGGTTTGATTTTCTAGCGTCTGGCTTATAGACGCATACACACAATGAAATTCACCCCGTTGGAGAGTAGTTGATGGGTTTTGACAGACGTGTACAGTCACGTATCTACATATATATCACAGTCAACTTACAGAACATTTCTAGTGCCCTGAAAAGCCAGTATCTTTTGTCCACTTCCTAGCAACAATGGATCTATTCTCTGATCCTATACTTTTGACATTTTTCTTTTTTTTTGAGACAGTTTTACTCTGCTGCCCAGGCTAGAGTGTTGTGGCATCGGCCTGACTCACAGTAATCTCAAACTCTGGGGTTCAAGTGACTCTTCTGTCTTAGCTGCACGAGTGGCTGGGCACAGTTCACAAGATACATATGTAATTTTCCGTAATTGACTTTCAAATAATGTCACAACACTTAAAATATAGCATAAAAACTTACCACTGAATGCTTCCATTTCCTTCTTCCTGCTGTTTGTTATTTTTGTGTTACATTTTTACTTCTACATATATCATGATCCTCACAAAACATTGTGACTATTCTTACATTAGACATTAATTACAACTAAAGAAGCTTATTTTTATTTTTATTTTTTTTATTTTTTATTTTTATTTTTTGGACACGGAGCCTCAAGCTATCCCCCTGGGTAGAGTGCCATGGCATCATAGCTCACAGCAACTTCCAACTCCTGGGCTCAAGCAAGTCTCCTGCCTCAGCCTCCCGAGTAGCTGGGACTACAGGCGCCTGCTACAGCGCCTGGCCATTTTTTGGTTGCAGCCATCATTGTTGTTTGGCGGGCCCGGGCTGGGGACTCGAACCCGCCACCTTAGGTGTATGTGGCTGGCGCCTTAGCCACTTGAGCCACAGGCGCCGAGCCAAGAAGCTTATTTTTATATTTGGCATATTTTTATAAATTCCAATAACTCTCCATTTTGTGTGTGTGTATACTTCCAAATTTCTATCTGGTATAATTTTCCTTCTGCCCTAAAAACTTCCTTTAATATTTCTTTTACAGCAGATCTGGTGGCCACGAATGCTCTAACTCCTTGCTCCTCTGAAGAAGTCCTTATTCTGCATCATTGTAGCTCACTGCAACCTCAATCTCAAGTGGTCCTCCCTCCTTGGCCTCCCAAAGTGCTAGGATGATAGGTGTGAGCCACTGAGACTGGCCTCTGTCTTTGTTTTTGAAAGATATTTTTATTGGTCATGGAGTTCTAGGGAAATGTCCTAGGAATTCCAAGGATATTCCTACTCCCGTGCCACCCTCATACCTTGGCAGGTCCTTCAAGCCTGTGTCACCAGGGGGCCTCCCTTAGATCCTGCCCCACCCCCAATCATTCTCATGAGCACTGTGGGAAGAAGCTGCCTGCTGGGCTTGGGCTCCCCTTGTGTCTGGCATCCTCAGGGATTCTAAACTGATGCTCGAGCTCATGTTCAGCCATTAAGAATTCACGAAAGCACCAGTTATTTTCTTATTACTTATTTTTGTGGCAACTATTTATTCCTCCCTGCTGTATCAAAGGTGAAATAAATCATGTGTTTCATCTATCGAAGGTAATTAGGTTCCAATTGCCATTAAAAGCGAGTTCACTTGGTTACCTTGTGACTCGGCTCTCCCATGGGCTCAAAAAATTGATTTTGCACGTTATTTGGCTTTTTCCATTGTCATGAAGGGAGTGACGGTCTCTTGTGGCTCTCTACGTTTTAAGCAAAAGTCAAAACCATTTAATGTGGTCTTTATACAATTAAAAAGATAAATCTCCGCTTTACTGTTTCTATTATGACTATATAAATTTTATTCCATTTTAAGTCAAGTAGTGTAGGAAGATTACATTTTCTTTCTTATACAACTTGGTTAGCTCGAAATTAATTGCTTCTTTTTATTTGCAGACTTTCCATAAGACATCTTTGAAAACAATTTTTCCACGTGCTTGAACCTGTCAGATCGTCTGTGAGCGCTGTCTGGAAAGTGTCCAGCCATGTAATATAAAAAATAGAGACATATGTGGCTGGATACTTTCCAGACAGCCCTCATATATATTCTCCTTTTCCTCCTTTCTTTTTTTATTTTTCTTTTTTTCTTTTTTCTTTTTTCTTTTTTTTTTGAGACAGTGCCTCAAGCTATCCCCCTGGGTAGAGTGCTATGGCATCACAGCTCACAGCAACCTCCAACTCCTGGGCTCAAGCGAGTCTCCTGCCTCAGCCTCCCAAGTAGCTGGGACCACAGGTGCCCGCCACAACGCCTGGCTATTTTTTGGTTGTAGCCATTATCGTTGTTTGGCAGGTCCGGGCTGGATTTGAACCCGCCACCTTAGGTGTATGTGGCTGGTGTCTTAGCCGCTTGAGCCACAGGCGCTGAGCCTTTATTTTTATTTTTTGAGACAGAATCTCTTTATGTCACCCTGGGTAGAGTGCCATGGCATCGCAGCTCACAGCAACCTCAAACTCTTGGGGTTAAGTGATTCTCTTGCTTCAGCCTCCCAGGTAGCTGGGACTACAGGTGCCCACCACAACGCCTGGCTATTTTTTTTGTTGCAGTTTGGCCGGGGCTGGGTTTGAACCCGCCACCCTCAGTATATGGGGCCAATGCCCTGCTCACTGAGCCACAGGCGCCACCCAACAATCCTGTTTTTAGCATCATCCTTTATCCCTACTTCAGAGGCTCCTGATGCCTCCAGTTCTCAGGTGCTTCCAAGGCTGTGTGGCTTTTCCTTGCCCCCCACCCACCATCCTCCTCTCAGCCCCACATCTCTTTCCCCTCAGCCACTTGGCTTCGACTTTTTATGGTCTGAGAAATTTCTTACCACGTGCTTCCCCCCCTCTGATTTGTAGCTTCTGCAGCTTTGCTGCTCTCTCCCCTCTCTGTAGTTGGCTTTCTCGGTGTTCTGTCTCTGTGACTTTGAGCCTATTTTATTCATTCATTCCCATTTTAGTGGGGCTTCAGGGGCAGATGTAAATTTGCTGTGTTTAAGCAGAAGTTTATTAGTTCATTTTGAAACTGAGAAAAATGAGGGCAGAGAGAGACAGAGCCTTAACCAAAGCTCCCAGGCAACTTCCCCCTAGGTAAGGTCAGGGCCCTGGGGGAGACCCCACAAAGACCATTTTGGGGGGAAGGGGGGCATCTCAGGCACGGCTGCTAATGGCAGCCGTTATTCCATGATCAAGGATTCTGGAGTCACAGAGACCTGGCTTCAGGTAGCTTTAAGCAAAGCAGAATCCTTTGCCCTCTGAACCTCAATTTCCTCATCGGTGAAAGGCAGAAGTGGTAAGGATGAAATAAGAGGCTATGCGTGTCCTGGCCCAGGGACACATGAGATGCCTGGAAGTTAGAGGTCCCTCTTTACCATAAAGATGATGCACGTACCTTTTCCAGGGCAGGAGCCAATTCTTGGAGGAGACCTGAGCACAGGGCATGGGTTGCCGTGGTGCCCTTTTTCTCTGCCTGTGCCTTCTGACTTTTCAGACCCTGATGGCAGGTAAGAGGGCTCCTTCCACTGCGGGGGTGGGGGGCACCTAGTCCAGGCCCATGGCTGTGATGTGAAAGGTGGAGGCTTCAAACCAAGGGAGATTGAAGGGGGGACACTGGGGCTTTCCGGGGACAGCAGGAACTGCTTGTGAACTAGACGTCTCAAGCTGGGGATGGAAGGCCCAGAGACTATGGGGCCAGGGGACAGCTGAAGGGGAAGTGTGATTCTTGCTCTCACAGATGCATCAGAAAAACTTCTGCATTGGATGGAGAAAATGGAGCGACAAAGGGGCCGCAGAATGCCTTCTCCTGATCAGTGAGTTGGGTCACTTCCTCTACCGCTTAGGCTCAGCTGTGCCTCCCCCGCCAAGCCTCCACCTTGGTCCAGGGTTAGTCTGGTGAAGAATCCTAACTGTTTATTTTTCAGCACATGTTTATTGAGTATCTACTGTGTACCTGGCACTAGGCCCCAGCAGTGCAGGCTAGACATGCCACTGCCCTCATGGAGGTTTAATCTAGGGTGGGGGCCCTCAATCATGGATGGCATGAAATCAGGTGCAGGACTGTGAGTCTCTGTGCATTTTTCTGTGAAGGGGCTCTGAGACTCTGGCTGGCTCTGCAGGGTCTGTGACCCAAAGTCCAAGCAACTCTGGGTGAGAAGCCAGTGCTGATGACTGGTCAGGGCTAAGAACTGCAACTGGGAGGCACAGGGACACTCATTTGAGGTGGGGCAGTCATGGATAGCTTCCTGGAGGAGGTGACTACAAACTAGGACCCATAAAGGAGTTAATCAGAAGGGGTGGTTGGGGTGGGATGGGGAGGTAAGAGTGTGCTGGGGACACTGTGAGTGCCAAGCCTAGAGCTGGGAGTGACAGGGGTATGGGATGGGGAGCCCCCCACCCCCCAGGCTGCCCCGAGCCTCCTCTCCTGTCTCTGCCCTCCTTCACCGTCTTCCCTTCGGCCCACAGGCAAGTCCACACCCTGGAGCAGATGCTGCTGAACGTCAGCTTCCCGGGCTACAACCTGACCTTGCAGACAAGCACCATCCAGTCTCTGGCCTTCAAGCTGGGCTGTGACTTTGCAGGTCTCGCCCTGAGCAGTGACACTCTGAAGCCGGTACCTCAGGTTAGAGGTGGTGGAGTTGGGGGTTAGGAGGCCACTGCCTCCATCCTAGACACCCTCAGGGCCTTAAGGTGTAGACTTTCCTCAGGCTGCACTCTCCCTCCCATGCCTCCAGTCTTGGTTCTGTCCTAACTAGCTGTGAGTTCCTGCCTCTAGAATGGGGCTGATGTTCCTTGTGTGAATAGCAAAAAAGGAGGGGCTTTGTGGCCCCCAAAGGACAGTGTCTTCTCCCTGCTTTGGCTAGAGGCGAGTTGCTGCAAGATGCCAGAGAATCCTGACTTCTTTTAGGTCCCTGGTGTGACCCTGCTAGATACCTGGCCAGGGCTGGGTGCTGGGTGCTGAGAAGGAGCCCCAGCTTGGTTGGTCAAATACCCCAAATTCCTGACTGGAGTGGATGGAGGGAAGGTCCAGGACCTGGGGAGCCTGGGAGGAGAGGGCTCTGCAGGTGGCAGCTTGGAGGAAGAAAATGACCAGGGTAAGGTGCAAATAATGGGGAGTTGGGGGCATTGAAGGCCTTGGAGACGGGTCTACAGGCCTTGCACACCAGGCTCAGCCTGTCGGTGGCCCTCGCCAGGCCCGGGATCAACACGCCATGCAGTTTCCCGCTGAGCTGACCCAAGACGCCTGTAGAGCTCAACCTGGGAATCTGCGGCTCATCTGCATCTACTTCTTCACAGCTTCCTTTTTCAAGGTCAGTGCCATGGCCAAGGACAGGGTGGGGGGTGGGGCCACGGGGCAGTGCTCTGGCCCCTTCTTGGGGGCACTTCAGGCGTCATCCATGCCACTGCCTGGTCTCTGGGTAGGGCCCAGCATCAAGTGGGACTAGCCCACTACATAATTGGAGCCAGCCATTGTGCCTCCCTGGGTCTCAGTTTGCCTGTCAGCTTTAGCAGAATGATAGAAAGGTAAGATTGCAATCTGCAGATGAAACCTAACAAACCTACTATGTGCTTGTCCCTAGGCAGGAGACAGACAAGAAGACATAAGGTCCCTGCTCAGAGAATTCTCTATCACTTAAACCAGGACCTTAGAGATTTAGTGCAAGGTTGATTACAGCAATAGAGACACAGAGCAATAGATGAGTCAGGGTGGGGTTGGGGCTGTCCCCAGAGGGCAGTCCAGGGAGGAGAGGCTTGGATATCATCCACAGTCTCCCCATGTCACCTCCACTCAGTCCTTCTGCTTGCCCTTCCAGGATGACAACAACTCGTCTCTGCTTAATAACTATATCCTGGGGGCCCAGCTGAGTCACGGACATGTGAACAACCTCAGGGATCCAGTCAACATCAGCTTCTGGCACAACCAAAGCCTGGTACTGCTGGGCGTGTCCCTATTTCCACCCCCACCACTGCTCTGTGGCTTTCTTGGTGAACATTGGTTTGATCAAATGCAAACCTGTGGAACCATCTTGGAAACAAGTTGTTTTAAATTTATCACACTTTGCAAACTCCTACCAAAGAAAAGAGGCAGGCTTTTACTCCCTGTGTCAGTCAGGATTCCTTCAATTGCAAGTGGTACATGTAGCACACCAGCTTAAGCATAAAGGGAAATTACTGGCTTGCATGACATTTCCAGGAGTGGTCTAGCTTCAGGAATGGCTGGATCCAGGAATGGCTGCAGTGCCATCATGCCTCAGGCTCTCAGCAGCGGCCTCCTGCCTTGTCTTTCCAATCCGTGGCGGGATGGATGCTGGAGTGCTTGATTTCCTTCCCATCTTCCCAGCAAGCTCTGCCCCATTAGTGCAAATTAGGGTTCCAGGGTCCTGAAGGTTCAGAGGGTCATGCGTCCGTCCCTGCACCAGTCACTGTGCCCAGGCGGATGGCATGTGTGGATTGGTCAGTCTGGCTTGCATGGCCCAGGGACTGAGGTGGAGGAGTGAGCTCCAAAGGGCAGTGCAGACGCTGATGCCAGAACAAAGGTGGGAGTGTTAGAGAGCACACCCTGGTGTGTCTGCTCCCTGCCCCTGGTGTTCCTGTAAATCCCAGAGCCTCTTCTCCCTGGCTCTGTCTTCCTTCAGCCTCCTCAGGACTGCTGCACTCTGAATCTCACCATCGTCCTTTCCTTTCACCCTCTGGGCTATCACCACTGCCGTTCCCTCCACCGTGAATGCCCTTGCTCCCCGGCTGGTGAAACTGACATGCCCTCTCAGGCCTCAGTGCCCCACCTCCCTTTCCCTTCCTGGGCTACCTCTGCCCCTTCCTCTGTGCTTGTCTGTGGCACTGTCCGTGTCGATTCCCCACCTCCCCACCCACATGGCTTAGCACCCAGGTGTTCTGTGGGCGAGCTTCTCCCTGTCCCCCGGGCATGGGTCTGGACCATTGTCGTTCCCCCATGGGGAGGAGGGAGAAGGGAACAGAGCACCCACTGTGTAAAAGGCCAGAGCTGAGTTCTCAAGAGTCTACATTGTCTTTAACTTTCCCACCGTCCTTATGACTTGGGTATAAATTATCCCATTTTACAGATGAATAAACTGAAGCTCAGAGCACTTGGCCACATGCCCAGGTCACTCTGAGAGTCCACGGTGGAGGTGGGGCTGGGCCCTCGGACTGCCTGATGCCAAAGCCCAGCCAGTGCCTGGTGAAGCGTTGACAAGTGTGCCGATGAGTCACATTTGACACCCAGGACTTCAGACCCTGATTTGCAGCCCTTCCTCTGCACTCTTGGCTGACCCCAGCGTTTCCCCTCAGGACGGCTACACGTTGACCTGTGTCTTCTGGAAGGAGGGAGCCAGCAAGCACCACTGGGGGGCGTGGAGCCCCGAGGGCTGTCACACAGAGCAGCCCTCGCCTTCCCAGGTGCTGTGCCGCTGCAACCACCTCACCTACTTTGCGGTTCTCATGGTACGTGTGCATCAGCCTGGGTGAGGGGGCTCAGACCAGCGGGGGACCCCACGTCTGTAGAAAAGGAGCAAGGCAAAGGCAGTTCTGTGGAGGCCATGGAGGGGTGCGTAGGTCGGCCGGGAAGGAGGCCTGGGCATGGAGCCGGCCGCAGCCGCAGAGCCTGGGACCCGCTCCTCCACTTAGGGCGTCCTGGGGGCTCTTTGGGGGCGCGCCCGGCTCCGGGGACCCAAGGAGCCTGGCGCTGCGCGGATGGCGCTGCTCCTTTGGCTGGCGTTCACCCTCCTGCTGTTCCTGCTGGCCGCCACCAGGGTCAGGTGCTAAGAGCCCGCCCAGACCACCGACTGGAGGGCCACCCTGAAGACCCTCCGGAACGGTGTCTGCAGCATAGACACCTACCTGCTACCTGAACGCCGCCTTGGACCTCCTGGGAGGGGAGGACGGGCTCTGCCGATATAAGTGCAGTGACGGATCTAAACCTTTCCCACCTTACGGTTACAAACTCTCCCCATGGACTGGATGTTTGGGGTTCATCTTAACATTGGTATCCCTTCCTTGACCAAGTGCCGCAACCAACATGACAGGTGCATGAGACCTGTAACAAAGCAAGAGTGACCGTGAAGAGGCGTTCCGGTACTGCGTCTCCAGGATCTGCCAAAATGTGCAGAAAACACCCGGACTAGCTCAGCATGTCCAGGCATGTGAAACAACCGAGGAGCTTTGTTTGACAGTGTCATACATTTAGGCTGTAAACCCTACCTGGACAGTCAACGAGCTGCATGCAGGTGCCGGTATGAAGAAAAAACGGATCTTTAAGGAAGATACTGACAGCTGGCGACTGATGAGGATGGAAGAACATAGCCTTTAACCAAGAACAAATGTTTTTATAGCATAAAAGTACCTTATTTTATGAAAAGATCATTGTAAGACCTTACCGAAGTTTCTATTTTAACAAAACCTCAAAGTAAAACGCAGCGGGGGTGGTCAGAGGAGGGGCGCCTGCCTTCTCAGCTGTCTTCCTGGCGGTGCTGCCTTAGTGCGCCCCATTGTCTTGACCAGTATGTGTTAAGGGGAGAATTTTTACAAAGAAGAGTATATAACTTGATTTTTGCAACCATATTTACCAAAAAGAAATGAGATTAAACATAAAATTGATTATAAGGGCTATTCAACATTATTATTTTTTTTTTTGGAACTATAGGAAATTCTTCGCTTACAAGTATTTTTTATTTACTAGGCAATTTTAAATACACATTTATCCACAGAAAGAATTTATTCTTTCTCTATTTTAATTACACATAGTTTGTTGTTTTTCTATAGTCCAGTGAGCGTAAAAATAAGTCACACTTCTATTAGGACTAGTTATAAGGACAAGGTTTCCATGTCTGTTTTTCTTGTAAAAGTGACACTATCAGCTGATTACCGCTCAGGAAATAAATCCAGGGTATCTAATCTAAGTTTTATGCAATAAGCCTAGAAGGTGACGTGAACAAGATACAGAAACATAGCTACTTCTGTTTTATAGACCACTCATAACACAAAGGTCTGAATTGGAGTAAAAGTGGATTTAATGGAACAAATGAAAAGTTAGGCTCAGCGCCTGTGGCTCAAGTGGCTAAGGCGCCAGCTACATACACCTAAGGTGGCAGGTTCGAATCCAGCCTGGGCCCGCCAAACAACAATGACGGCTGCAACCAAAAAATAGCCGGGCATTGTGGCAGGCGCCTGT